TAACAGCTTTTTTCCATTCTTCTTGCAAGTCAAACCTCCCCTGCATCAAGTACAACAAGCAAAGGTCAAACAAGTTTCATATCTGTTAAACAAAAAAAATAGTTGCATATAAATATATACCTGAATTTCTTCCCACAATGTTTCTTTAGTCACTGCATCAAGATTTCTCCAATCGGCAAGTGTAACCGGAATGTGTTCACTCACAAGGACACCAAGAAAAGATGATAATGTTACTGAACCAGGTGCAACATGATCACCAAAGTCAGTGAAAGAAACTAAAACCTTTTCATTAGGATTTCAGCCACTTTACCACTACAAGAATATTGGCTTTTAATAGCACAATACTATAGCGTTTTATTCACAAATGCTATTATAAGTATAAGGTCGAGTTTAAGATAGCGTTTGTAGTTTTAAAAACGCTATTAATAAAGTTTCGCAGAAAGAAAACTAAACACGCGCCTAATAATTTTGGGTTTCTATTTTTATAGCATTGTCTTTAATAGCAGAATTATCATAAAACGCTATTAAAAGTGAACCGGGAAAACCTAAAAATAATTGGCCTTGAACCGGGAAACTAAATTTGGCTTTTCCCTCTGAAAGTCTCGATATTTTCTAAGTCCTCAAAACAAGCTCTCAACACTCTTACTCGAAATTTTCTAAGTCTCAAATCTCTCAATCGATTCAAGCTCTCAAATCTCTCAGTCGATTCAAGCTCTCAAATCTCTCACTCGATTCAAGCTCTCAAATCTCTCAGCCGATTCAAGCTCTCAATCTCTATCTCACTCGATTATAAACGGTACTTTTGTGAAATTTCGTCTCGATTTAGGGTTCTTAAAAGTTGTAATTGATTCCAGTCGATTATTACCTTTGTTTGTAGGAAGATTTCGGCTTATTTGTCACGGTGAAAGGTATGTTACATTGTGAGGGTTTTTGATTTGGGTTTCAAATTGGATTTTCGATTTGGGGATAATGTTCGATTTGGGGATAATTGGGTTTTTCAATTTTGTTCTCATTCTGTTTCTTTATATTTGCGCAGACAATCTCCTGTTGTCAAACTCGAATTACATAAGGTAAATTATTCGTTTACTAAGCTTGATTTCTCTTTGTATTTGCTGAAATTTAGCTTCGTTTCTTTTCAGTTTGGGTCTTATAGTTGTTTAGGTTATGTTTTATACATTTGTCTTATCTTTGAAACTCTTATATCATATGTACATCTTGTGGAGCTGTGGTGTTCTTGTGACATGGACAAGTCTTGGGTTTGGCTTCCAAGGTATGTTACTTGCAGAGATTTTTGTAAATAGTTCTGTTAAGAAATGTTTTGAGATTGATTTTGAACTTTGAAATTTTTATTAACCTACAGGACTAGCCTTGAGTATCATGAAGGTGCAAGTTCTTTTGTTTCTGAATCAGCAAAGCGTTTGGGTAATCTTGAAGAAATGTTATGTCCCTGCATGCATTGCCGCAATGTATGCCATCAGTCTAGAGAAACAGTCGTGGATCATCTAGTTATTAGGGGAATGGATCAGAAATATAAGAGGAGGACATGTTGGAGTTTGCATGGGGAGTTAATTAGTGACAACACAGCTGATGAAGCAAGACCAGAATTAGAAGCTCATTACTTGTTTAGAGCAGCTTTTGGAAGTGAAGGAAAGCCAGAGAATCATGATGAATACCAGTCAGAGTATGTTGAAAGTAATGAAGAATCAGAGTTTAGGAAGAAGTTGGAGGATGCTGAAACTCCACTGTACTCGAGTTGTCCTACTTACACTAAAGTTTCTGCGATTATGGCCCTTTACCGCATCAAGTGAAAAGTGGTATGTCAGAGAACTTCTTTGATCAACTTTTGACTATTGTTCATGACATGCTGCCTGAAGACAATGTACTTCCAACATCAACGGATGGGATGAAGAAATTCTTGAAGATATTTGGGTTTGGTTATGATGTTATTCATGCATGTAAGAATGACTGCATTCTTTACAGGAAGGAGTATGAAAATATGGTAAGCTGTCCAAGATGTAATGCATCTAGATGGGAAAGGGACAAGCACAGTGGTGAAGAAAAGAAGGGGATTCCAGCTAAGGTACTTAGATATTTTCCTATAAAGGACAGATTCAAGCGTTAGTTTAGATCCAAAAGATTGGCAGAGAATTTGCAATGGCATTTCAACAATGCTAATGAAGATGGTACCATGAGGCACCCTGTGGACTCTACAACATGGGTTCAAGTGAATTCTAAGTGGCCTCAGTTTGCTGCTGAGCCAAGAAACCTGAGGTTAGCGCTGTCAACTGATGGGATGAATCCTTTCTCCATTCAGAACACAAAGTACAGTACATGGCCGGTGTTGCTAGTAAATTACAACATGCCTCCAACAATGTGTATGAAGACAGAGAATATAATGCTGACAATGTTGATCCCAGGACCAACTGCTCCAGGTAACAGCATTGATGTCTATCTAGAACCATTAGTTGATGATTTAAATGATATGTGGAATGATGGCATTGAGGTGTATGACTCATTCATGAAGGAGACATTCACACTAAAAGCAATGTTGCTGTGGACTATTAGTGATTATCCAACCTTAGGTACTTTAGCTGGTTGCAAAGTTAAAGGAAAACAAGCTTGTAATGTCTGTGGGAAAGACACACCATTTAAGTGGCTGAAGTTCAGTAGGAAATTTGTTTATATGGGTAATAGGAAACGGCTAAGACATGATCATATTTATAGACGCAGAAAAGTTTGGTTTGATAACACTATAGAGGAAGGGACTGCAAAAAGGATTGAAACAGGAGCTGAAATATTTGAGACATTGAAAGAGTTTAAGAATGATTTTGGAAGGCCATTACCAAAGAAGAGCAAAAGAACAAGAACAGAACCAGTTGAAGATGAGGTTATTGAAGAAGAAGAACCTACAGAAGATTGTTACATATGGAGATGGAAGAAAAGGTCTATCCTTTTTAAGTTAATATATTGGAAGGTTAGTCTTTTGTATAGCTTTAGTGATTTTGTGAAATTTATCTGATAACTAACTAGTAACTAATCAGTTTTTAATGTCTCAGGATATGCCGGTGCGGCACAACATTGATGTGATGCATGTTGAAAAGAATGTGTCTGATGCCTTATTATCTTTGTTGATGCAAAGTGTTAAATCTAAGGATGGACTGAAGGCAAGGAGAGATTTAGAAGACATGGGAATTCGGAAAAATTTACATGTTCAGAATCGAGGTAAGAGACAATACTTACCTCCAGCTTCTTATTGGCTGTCCAAAGCAGAAAAAAGAAGATTCTGCAATAGGCTAGCAAAATTTAGAGGCCCTGATGGATATGCTTCAAATATTGCCAGTTGTGTTTCAGTGGAACCCCCTATGATTGGTGGCTTGAAGTCACATGATCATCATGTCTTGCTGCAAAATTTGCTGCCTGTTCCTCTCCGAGGTTTGCTGCCTAAGGGTCCTAGAATGGCAATTAATAGAATATGCAACTTCTTCAATCGACTATGTCAGCGTGTGATTGACCCTGAGAAGCTCATGTCAATGGAATCTGAGATTGTAGAGACATTGTGTCAGCTAGAAAGGTTCTTCCCTCCTTCACTGTTTGATATCATGTTCCACCTTCCTATACATCTTTCAAGAGAAGCTCGTTTGGGAGGTCCAGTGCATTTTAGATGGATGTATCCCTTTGAAAGGTAAACAATTTGTTGTTAATTGATATATGATTTGTTAAAAACAATATTATGGGTAATCATATTGTCTTAATGTGTAATAGGTACATGAAAACACTCAAGGCTTATGTAAAAAACTATACAAGGCCAGAAGCTTGTATGGCAGAAGGATACTTAGCTGGAGAATGTATTGCATTTTGTCTAGAGTTTCTACAAAATTCAGTACTTGTTCAAGAAACAATGAACCGCAATGAAGATAATGGTGTGGCAGATGATCTTGGTCTTGAAGGTCGTCCATTGAACCAGGGTCAAGAATTTTCATTGACTGATAAAGAGAGAGACATAGCACATCGGTATGTCTTGATGAACATGGCTGTAATGAATGCATATGTTGAGTAAGTTAATTTTCACTTATAACTTGTAGTTTCATTTAACCGTTTTGTTTGGAAGCTTTTCAATTAATGAATATTTTTGTATAACAGGATGCACTTAGAAGAATTACAAACTACTAATGTCAGATGTGCAAAAAGTGAGACTCATCTATGGAAACTTCATGGAGAACGATTTGCTCAGTGGGTGAATGAGAAGGTAATTACTCTAAGGACTTTTTATACTATGTTAAGCTTTCAAAATTTTGGTATTGATGTTTTCTGTATGTTTTCTCTTACTAGATCCCTTTTAACTCTAAGAATCATTCAAGCAAGCTGAAATGGTTGGCATTTGGTCCAAGACACATTGCTCAGTCCTATAAAGGATACATCATTAATGGTCATCGATTTCACACTGAAGATGTGAAGAGGAAGACTCAGAACAGTGGAGTAACATATGAAGCTTTCAGTATGTGTAGGTCTAGCGCAAGATATACTAGACATACAGCAGACATAGTTACTTACTATGGAGTCATCCAAGAGATCATTCTGCTAGACTATCACACATTTCAGGTTCCAATATTTAAGTGTAAGTGGGCAAACAAAGGATATGGTGTGAAAGAAGAAGAAGGCTTCACCCTTGTGAACCTCCATTTAAATCAAGCTCCATTTATGCAAGATTCTTATATCTTGGCTTCACAAGCTAAACAAGTTTTCTATTCCAGAGAAGATGACTCCTCACCTTGGTATGTAGTCATGAGGGCGCCACCAAGGGGTTATCATGAGTTAGAGACTGAAGAAGAGTTAACTGCTGCACCAGTATACATTCCAGAAGTTGAAGATATTGGAAATCAATCTTCAGATGA